CGTCCCCATCAGGTGGTGGGAGCAACCGCTCTCGAGCAGGACCACCTCCGGGTTCGCCTGCACAGCTGCCGCCACCGCCTGGAAGTCCTCCCCTGCCTCCGGCGCCAACGAGACGGTCGGTTCCACGACGGCGACTAGCGAGCATGACACCGTCTTGTCGTCCCCCGCCTTGCCGCCAGCAGAGGAGTCGGCGTCCTTCGCCGAGGTCGACGTCGTCGACTGCTTCTCCTTGCGCGGCCGGTTTCCGCCTCGACGAGGACGACGACTGCTCGACCTCCGGCGGTTGCCCTTGTCGTCGTCGTCAGAGTCACTGCGGTCGGGGCACTCGAAGGAGAGGTGGTCGGGGTCGCCGCACACCCAGCACTCCCGTCGTCGACCTCCTCCTCCTCGACCGCTGTTCTTGGTCGACTTCTTCTTGTCGACCTCCTTGGCCGACTTCCAGCCACTGTTCCCGCCGCCACCAGACTGTCCGCGTTCTCCTGGTCGGCCTCCTTGCTTCGCCGGGGCGACGAAGTTGGCCTGCGCCAAGAGTTCCTGCGACCGCTCAGCCTCCTGCATCGCCTCGTCCTGAAGGATGTATGAGGTCAAGTTGTCCTTGTTGAGCGTCGCCCTCGTGCTCGGCGCCATGGACAGCCGCTTCAGGAGGTTGTAGCTGCTCGAGAGTCCCTGCATGACATGGGTGATGTATGACGCCGTGGAGTACTGCACGCCGGCCATCCTGATGGTGGCGAGAATTCGTCGGGCTCAGTTGCAGTAGTCGGTCGCTGTCTCATCGTCACCCATACGCAGGTGCGTCAGCTGTCCCTCCAGCTGGGCGATGAACAGGTCGTCGGTGACCTGGTACGTCGACTCGATGAAGTGCCACGCCCGGTGGCCGGCGTCGATGTACTCTCGGCACCACTTCAAGGCAATCTGCACCCCTGGCGAGCAGCACCGCGAGATGACCGTGAAGGTCAGCAGCTGCATGGCGCGAAACTCCGCCCGCAAGTCGGGGTGGTGCTCCCCAGGCGTCGCCACGGTCCCTCGGGCGAAGCCGATCAGCCCAGCCATCTCCAGCTGGGGCTCGATAGCTTCTTTCCAGGTGAGAATGTCGGGTCGACCGACCAGTGGGGGGGTGACCGAGATCCTGTCCGGCGTGAACTTGAAGTAGCCGTAGCTCGGCGCAATTCCATCTGTTGTCACCTGGGACGCCGACATCGGCGACAGCCCACTCCGTCGACCTCCGACGTCACCCTGCGAAGAGCCTGCAGCCGCCGACGACTGCATCCCTCGCGCCTGAACGTCGCCGACTTCACCGGCGTGTATCACACCTCTCTCCCTCGACGTGCCTCCAGCACTGCTACCGACTTGACCACCACCGGCGTTGACGCCCACGTCGACGCCGCCTTCGTTGTTCACCGGACAAGGAGAGGCAGGTCGAGACGGGTGCTCCGTCGCCCACGTGGAGCGGAGTCCAGCCTCGACGACCGCCCAGGGCAGGTCGCCATACTCATTGGCCTCATGCTTCCTCCTCGCGTTCTCCAACCGTGCCTCCAGGGTGTCCACCACCCCCACGTCACCTACGGCTCCTACCATAGTGACTACTGCACAGTTGCCGGCCTGTGACTACGAAATAGGTAAGTGGTATCTACGTCGACCTGACTGAAAGGTAAGTCGTGTGCCGTCCACGCTCACCGCACCATGCGGAGATAACTACTACAACGGGAGCTTAGAGTACTAGCTAGGCACGTGTGCTCGTGTGATCTCTGCGTTCGTTGGTCCTTAGACGTTTTCCTAGTGCTAACACTGCTTGCTAGTTCACGGGGCAATTTGGCAAGAGTTTCACTAGAGAAAATTGTCAACAATGGTACAATGAAGTTGGCAATGCAAGACTACATCAGAGCTAGCATTCATGTTGGTCAACTACCAGCACAGCATGGTCGACCGCGTTCCAACACGACTCGGTCGACCGCGCTCCAGCAGTGCAAAGTCGACAGCTTGCCAACGCTGCAGGTCGACGGTGTGCCAGCAGTGCACCCGCTTTGTAGGTGCGTGCAGATAATTGGTATGCCAAGCCTCATCACCTGCACAGCACACACACACCACGTCAGCCTCGGGCTGACGGCTGCCTCTGATCTGCCACGACGACCTCGGGATACCATGACTGAGGTCGGTTTCGCCAACTTCGCCTGGGTGACCGTCGCACTCCTCTGCAGCACTTCGTCACCCAGGTAACCTGGTCGACCGGGCAACCACATCGACCAGCAACTCCCGTACGTGCCCGTCGACCTCCCAAGTCGACGACCACCTCGATGTCGACCTCACCGGGTCGACCACGCCCCTCGGTCGACTATCGCGTCACTCGACACCCGACTCCTCGACGTCCTGCCATTCGACGTCGGCCCCTCCTTCGTCGACCACCGAGTCCAGTCGACCACCCGCAGGTCGACCAGCACATCAGCCAACCACCGAAGTCGGCTTCTCAAGTCGACGTCACCAAGTTGACGTCGTTCGCGGGTCGACTCCTAAGTCGACCTCCCCAAAGTCGGCGCCACCCTGAAGTCGGCGCCCGTGCAGTGGTCCCCGTGCGGGTCGACCTCCTCGTCGACCAGCTCGCCCACTGCTGCAGGTCGGCTGCTCCCCTAACACCCGACCACGATGTCGGCTCCGCCCAAGCGTGGACGGGGCCAACATACAACTCCCGTTGACATATATATTGTGTGCCATGTACAAATTGATGATGATACTATGACGACTGCATTGCCTATGACGACTGCATTGCAGACTCCTTGTAGAGTCTTGTCACAATTCACATGAAGCCTGTGCCTTCCACTCCACACATCACCACCCTGGTGTAGTGTTGGCTGTGACAGAAAGAACCGGTAGAACCAAGGGTGGTTTGGAGGAACCAGTTTCGGGCATTGGACATCGGGGTTGATCAAATGGCAACAGAACCATCAATATAGACCACGGACGCATTACATTCATTAGAGAAACAGAAACTCCTGCCGCAAAACACTGTCATATGCACATCAATCCCACCGTCCCTCTGCTGCATCGCATCAAGCGCTGCTCCCCTCAGTACTCAGCGGCGAGCTTGCCATTGGCAGGGCGCATCCAGCGGCCCGAGTTGTAGACGCTCTGCCCCACCACCCAGCCGTCCACGTTGCGCATTATGTGCGCCTCCTGCTGCAGCTCCTCCCTGCGCGCCGCCGCAAAGCTGGGGACGGGGAGAGGGGGGCGGAGAGGAGAGGGAGGGGAAGGAAAAGGAACGGAGGTGGGTGGAGAGATTGGTGAGGTGCGAGGAGGTTGGTGAGCTGTGGGGGAGCTGGCCGGGGGGAAGGTTAGGTGCGCTGTGTGAGGGGCAAGGGTGGCGTGGCAAGAAAATACCTGGTGAAACCTAGATACGATTGATGTGGACCGGACAGGGGTGTGCCGTATCAATGGAGCTACAGATTTGTGTTGATGAGAAGAGAATGGAGTGTGCATACACGGGGTTGGATTGGATGACCCACGTGCAGGCAGGGAACCCTTGAGGAGAGGGAGAGGTGAGAAGGAGGGTAAAAGGATAGAGGAGTCGGAAAGAGGAAAAGCGGATGTGGGTCAAAGAAGGTAAAAGTGATGGTAAGTTTGACAGAGGGGGGCGGGTCAAAGGTGGGGGAAGAGGCGGGGGAAGGGAGGCGGAAGGGGGGAATGGAGGGGGGGAAAGGGGAGGGGAGCAGCCAGCAGGGGGTGGGGAAGCTGAGTCCTCACCGCGCGTCTTCCTCTGCTTGGATGAGCGGCAGTATGGCCACGCGCGCGTCAATCTTCTCCTTCTTCTCCGCCCTGCCATATGCCACGGGAGCACCGCACACAGCAAATATGGAGAGAAAGCAAAGGGGATCGCGGAGCGCGTGAATGGGGAAACGAAGGAGAACCATCCCATTGAGGGCGAGAAGGAGATGAAGACGCAAGCAATGTCTCCACCCATTCGCTATCGCGGGTCGTACGCTTGTTCGCGGGTTGTACGCTGCACGAGCACGCGCACGCGGGCACCGCACGAAAACGAATCGCGAGCACGATTGCTTTAAGCGGAAACCATGATGCATCGATCGCATTGTCGACTCGCTTCTTCTCGATCCCGAGCACTACACGACAGTTCCAGCCGACCACCCAGTGATCTAAGCTTGTTGCTGCACGGATCACGTTCACTATAGCTGCTCCCAGCGAGAGCAGTTGCAAACAGTCATGGATGGAATAGACGCCCGTTCGCGAGTGCCGAACAACCGAGACACGGAAACCTAGCCTCACCTCCGCTTGATGTTTCCTTGGCCGATCTGGTAAAATCCGAATGCAATCACAGCCGTCGAAACCAGCACCAGAGCGGCGCCCGACGGGCCCGTGTTCATGATGCGACGCCCGTATCGCACGGCAGGGAATCCGCCGGGCGGAGGGCCATCCTGCAGGCCCTTGAGGTCTTTAATCGACTTGAGGTCCTTGCTGCCGCGCACCACGTACTCCGTCATCGCGGCGCCGCGATCGAGTAGGCGGCGTCAAGAGAAATGAGGATTGGAAGTTTGCGCCGGAGAAGCGGCGCGGGGCTGGCGGGGGAGGTGATGGGGAAGGGGTGGGCGGAGTGGTGATGGTGGTGGGGTGGAGACTACGGGAGCGACGCAGACATCAGGGGTTGAGCTTGAACAAAGGCTCGTTTTCAGCTGATCCGCTTTCGCTGCGTAACGATTTGCTCATCCGATTGAGCTTTCGTCATGTAGCAGTTTTGCTTTTTGTTTGTCTGCACCTTTTGATAAATGCAGAGCAGCAATCGTTCAGATAAATACTTAAAGCGTACAAATTTTGTTTCTCTTATTTTGTAGTTGAACATGTAATGACGTGATAATATGCTCCACTGTACAAATCAACAATAATGATCGACGGGTGGCAGTAGCCAACAAATCCCACGGCACAATCAAAGAATGGCATGTCCTAGTAAGAACACCAACTCTCTCCACCCAGTCACCACCTCCGATTGTCCATGCCCAAACCTAAGACCCTCTTCTGTTTGAAGGGATAATATCAGGCACCTTTTCAGGCCTCTTCACCCCCACGCGCTGCAGGACCTGCATGGCGCGCATCTGCGAAATGGCTTTGCCGGGGTTCAGGTGCTTGGGGCATGTGCGAGCGCAGTTCATGATAGTGTGGCACGGCATCAGCCTGTCATTCTCTGCCAGCTGGTCCAGCCGCTCTGAGGTGCTCTCGTCCCGGCTGCGGTGGGAAGGGAGGGGCAGGGGCAGGAGGAACGGAAAGGGTTGAAGGAGGGTGTGGAGGGTGGGAATAGATCGGCAGGGGTTCAAGAAGAAGGGGTTAGGGGTTGTGAGCGTAATGGGAATATGGTGATAACCATGAGTTACAGACACTGACACTACATAAAAAGGAGCTTGAGGTGAATCACATGCAAGTGCGACGCACAGGAACGGTTAGCACCACACAAGTGATAATAATACCTGTCAAACACCCATCTACTGGCGTTGATAAGAGCAGCAGGACCCAGGAACTTGTTGTGGTTCCACCAGTAGGAGGGACAGCCAGCCGTGCAGCAGAAGCAGAGGATGCACTCGTAGCGCCCATCCAGCTTCTCCCGGTCCTCTACGCTCTGCCTGTTCTCCTTTCCGTCTGCAGGAGGCGTCTTTACCTTCAACCACGGCTCAATAGACCTGAAAAAGGAACCAAAATGTTAAGAAAAAGAAGAAAAAAACCCAGAATGTTCCAAACAAATTACTCTCCCATTCTGCTCAGCCACTAATTGCTGTTATTGCCAGTCAGCCAGTCACTGCACGCACTTGTACTGCTGGTACTGCCACGTGAGGTCCACCACCAGGTCCTTGATCACAAACATGTGCGGCAGCGGCGCGATCGTGGTGGCCACGGTGGGGCGCGGGTCGATGGGGCAGAGGCACGCGAGCGTGTTCTGGCCGTCGATGTTCATGGAGCACGACCCGCAGATGCCCTCGCGGCAGCTGCGCCGGAACGCGAGCGTGGGGTCCTGCGTGTTCTTGATCGTAAAGAGTGCGTCCAGGATCTGCCCGCGGCAGCGAGAAGGAGCACGCGGTGGTGAGGGGGGAGGAAAGGGGGAACGGGCGTGCGAAATGAGCGGGAGCGAGAAAGATACTAGGGACAAGACCCGCAGGAGCGAACAACAAACGAAGCATTACTGCAGGGCAGGCACTCTCTCGGCACAAAAGAAAGAAACCGGCCTGACCAGAAGGGAACAGTAAGGAAGGGCCAAGAAGAAGGAATCCGCACCATGGGACCGCACTTGGTGGTGTCCACTGTGTACTCCACCATTGACCGGCAGAGATGAAAGAAAAAGAACCGGTCTGACTGACTAGCGGGGAATAGGCACGGCCTGTTCAAGGAAGAGTTCGCACCATGGGGCCGCACTTGGTGGTGTCCACTGTGTACTCCACCATCCTCGCCTTCCCGCCCTCGTCCGGGTTCCACCGGTAGATCTGAAACCGCTTCAGATTCTGCACCGGCTCGCCTCGCCGCGCAGTCGTGGTCGACGCGGTTGCCGCGGTCGGCGCAGCCTGTGACGGGGAAGATGGTTGCGCCTGGAGGGGTTTGCCCACGGAGTCCATCTGGGGAACGTCGTCCACGCCTCTGGACTGCGCCGCTTGCTGCGGCGCGCTCTTGATGGGCGAATCCCAGGAATAGACGAAACTGTGGCGGTGCGGGTTGTCGCGGCTGAGACCGCCGTCGCTGCTGCTGTTGCTGCTGCTGCTGCTGCTGGCGAACGCGCGGCGAAATAGCTCCTGCACGGGCTGCCAGCGAGTGTCGCTGCGGAAGAGCTGTGACGCGGAGGGCTTTAGAGTAGTACTACCGATGAGCTTGTGGCGCAGCTGGGAGGCCATGGCGCCGTCCTCGATCCACTGACCCTAGTAGCACCGGGTGTTGTGTGACGCCTACGCACACGCCGACGTAGTACGAAATCTAACGAGGTATAGTGACCTTTCGCCGAATAAGAGGATCCAACGAGAAACAGTGACCTTTCACGGAATAAGAGGATTCCCTACCACTAGTAAACGCGAGAGGAAGGCGGAAATGCTGCTGTGCTATCCCAGGGGCAGACAGGATTGCCATGGCGTGCCTTGCAAGGCGAGGCTGCTTGGCTGCTACGTTCCCTCGGTGCATGCGTGTACGCGTCGATGGAAAGGAGGAGCAGCGGTGGGAACAATCTCACAGGGTTACCCCGCGCGGGACACGAAGAGTCGTGCCGGAATATAAAACTCGTCGCCACGTGTCTGCGGTATGTTAGTATTGAGTGAGGGTGTGGTGGACACCATGCATTGGTTTCTATCTCCTAGCCCTGGGCCTGCAAAAGAAACATTGCAGGGTTACCTCCTCTAATTTGTTTCGCCAACCGTTTCGTCAGACTTGGTGCTACATGGTCACGGCCCTTCTCATTGTCTCGGCAGTCTGATTAGTAACATATTCGTTGTTGTTTAGTTCGCTAACTCTTTTGTAGCAATTGTGATATCTGGATACTTACTGCTAAGAGTGCGTAGGTTTCACAAATGGGAAAAAAATGCACTCGAGGTCGGAACTACACAATGTTTTGCCAAAGTCCTAAAACGAGGAAACAATGGGAAACTATATTCCAGGTCCATACTTTCAGATTTCTCTCAAGTATAGCCCCAGGTTCACTCAAAAAGTACCACTTTCTATAATTTTGCTCACGCGAGGGCCAAAGTATGTTTAAAACTGGTCCTGCGGGGCGACGTGTCTAATTTCGCTTGGAATTTGTTTCGACGAGGCAAAAAATAATAAAGCCCCTCGGGAACTAGGGCACATTTGCGGGAGGGATCAACCCTAAACACCAAGCAGGTCCCCGTTTCAGGGTTGATCCCTCCCGAACGTGTGTCCTGGTTCCCCTAGGGGTTTTATGTTTTTTGCCCCCGTCAGAAATTGCAAATACGAAATAGGACACGTGTCGAAACTTTTGCCTCGCAGGACCAGTTTTGAACATAATCTGGACCTCGCGTGAGCAAACTTATAGAAAGCTGGTACTTTTTGAGTGAAATTTGGACTAAATTTGAGAGATTTTTGAAACTATGGAGCTGGGATATACTTTCCCGGAAAAAATGGAGAGAAACGAGCTAGGCTCGGGAAGGAGGTGGATGGTGAGGTGGCGCCTCAGGAGTGGTTCGGGGCAAAATTGAAGACCAAACCCAACTGAAGCGATACCCTCGGAACATCCCCACCCCACTAGGTCAGCCTCGATTCGGTCGCAGAAATTGTCACTACAGTATCAAAGGCGCGCCCTTGACACGATCCCCGTTTGACTAGCCCAAGTTGCCTTACGAAGAGGGCGCATAAGTGATTCTTGCATTTCGCTAAGTTTTCGTCAATTCGCACTTAGCAAAAAGGGCTTCAAAGTAATTTGTAACTCGCTGTCGACCGTTTGACATGGGTCTCTTCTGTCAAACTTCGGTTTTTGTGGTTCGTATTGCTCGAGGTGCTTATAAATGGGGTGCAACTGCTTGGTACCCTAATACACAGGTGCAGAGTTTCCATCGCGGGCAGAGCAAATTCGCGTGCAGGGGTTGGGCATCTGCTGGGTTTGGTCGATGTGTCGGATGGAGCTGTGCATACCGTACCTTCGAACCTTTTCCGACTAGTCAGTAAACCAGATCCAGGCCTGAAACTAAGTGGCTCTGAGCATCCGAACAGCCTACTGCTGGTGCGGCAAATGAAGCGCGCCACTTGCTAAAGCTGCCGAACCTTTGGAAGCCTAGCGTTCAAATCTCCCGCGTTTTGGTCACTCAGTTCTTCTGAAAATCTGACACAGAGGAGAGTCGCCTTACGGGTATGAATTCTTTATCAAGTTCCTTGCGTAACTAGCTGAACGTCAGAATAGCGGCGAATGCGCGACGTATGTTCGGGAAAAAAACTCATTATGGTTAGGCGAACAGCAGTTTCTTAGGCGTATCAGTTCTTTTACCTCGTGGTAGTAGCTTCCTCGTCTGCATCATGGAGTTCGCACTTCGGTTTAGGGTTCCCTCTTCTCTGCTCACGCACGCGAGCGAAGGATCTACGGCTACGATCCAACAGCCAGCAGCGTCACACGTGGATTATACCATTACCGTCGATCCGCACGAACCTCTCCAATCAGCATTTGACAAGCTGTTTCAGTCCCACCTGCCGCACTGCTGCCTGCCAGCTCAGCAGACACAGGATGACGCGGAAAAGAGCAGCAGCAAGGGCGAAGAGAAGCAGGTTGTTCGATTCATGGCTGTTGGGCAAGTGGTGTACCTATATCCTTCCGTATCCGCCGACAAGGCCAGGCTTAAATCGGGTTCGGTGATTATAGTGCTGGCAGTGAAATCAAAATCTGCGACCGGGGAAAACGCAGGGAACACCAGCGGCAGCAACGTCGCAACTGCCGCACAAGTCGCGCCTGGTGCCGGCGCCATACACGCGAAGTTTGAAGACCTATCGCTGGCTTCTGACGTGAACCTCCAACCCCAGAGTTCGCCCTCCCCTGCTCCTGTGTCCGTTCCTGCACCCGCCCCGCTCCCTGCGCCTGCACCTGCTGCTGCTCCTTCCTCTCCCCCTGCTCCGCCCTCTGCCGTGGGCAACGACACTAACAGCACCACTACCGCTGCCACTGCCGCAGGCACTAACAGTGGCACCAATGGTACCAGCGGCAACAACAGTGGACCCCGCAGCAGCGGCAGCAGCAGCAGGCAGATGGTACACGTGGAGCACGTGCCGCTGGCCCGGCCGCACATGGTGCACTACGTGGACGTGCACCTGCCGTGGTCGCACTCCCTCTGCGCCTGCTGCCTCCCCCGCATGCTCCGCCCCGCCCCGCTCGTCGCCTTCCGCATCTCAAGCCTCGCCGCGCTGCGCAAGCACCTGCAGCAGCCCGTGGTGCCCTCCATGCCGCCCTTCCGCCTCCCCAACAAGCCCACGCCGCCCATCCTCGCCTACTCCGCCACCGTCCCGCTCTCCGCCCCTCCCCGCCGCTTTCCAGGCTATACCAGCAGCGCAGCAGCGCCGTCGGTGGCGCAGCAGTATCGGTGGAAGGCGGATGCGGCGCCTGTGGTTGCAGCAGAGGGGATGATGCTCGAATGGCTGGCAGAGCCACGTGTCGGCCTGCTACTGGACCTACAGGAGATACGGCGCCAGCTGGCAGAAATCATGCAGATCAACGAACTCGCTGCGGCGCGCAGGGCAGCTAGCGCCGCACGAGGAGCCGCAGCTGCTGCTGCTTCTCCTGCTCCTGCTGCCACCGCTGACCCGTACCCTCCGTTGCTGTGGTGGTGCTGCTGGCAGTGCAGCCGCTGTTGGACTCTCTACCGCCGCGCCGTGTCCATCGCTGCGTTCACCGTGCTTGTCGCCAAGTTCCCCCGCTTCGTCATGCTGTGGCGCGCGCACTTGCGCTCCCCTGAGGTGGTCTTTTCCATGATGGCGTTTCAGTTCGGCGCGGGCCGGCAGGCGCAGGGCGACTGCTTGGCGTCGCTGCTGCTGCAGGTGCTGGGAGTGAAGGGGAAGGAACAGCTGGAAACTGGCTTTGCTGCCCACCTGCTGCCGCTGCTGCCGGGGGGAAGGGGTGCGCATGGGCAGGCGGGGGAGGGAGGGGAAAGTCGGGGCAGTGTGGGGGGACGGGGGGAGGAGTGGAGGGAGGGGTTGAGGGGGGTGGAGTGGGAGGAGTATGTGCGGCGCGTGGGGGAGATTGCCGCCCAGGGAGGGCTGGCAGGCGAGCAGTACCGCTGCTGCTGCTCGCAGTGCTGCCAGGGCGAGGGAGCAGAGGGGAGGGTGAGCGAAGGGGCCTTGGGAACTCAACCCGGCAGCAGCAGTGGCATGGTGATATCTGGTGCGGACCCCTCGGACTTCGCCCTCAAGTGCGGCACTCTCTTCTGCCAGCCGCTGTTCGCCCGGAGTGCTGCTCTGATCTTTTCTGACTGTGCTGGCAGCCGCCACAAGGAGAGGGTGGAAGACGCTGCTGTGGAGGAGGCAAGGAACCGGCTGGCAGCGGGGGAGGGGAGTGGAGTACAGGATCGAGGGAAGCAAAAAGTGGATTCAGACGCACGAGCAACAGCTCCTGCTGCTGCTGCTGCTGCTGCTGCTGCTGGGTCTGGTTCTGCAGGCAGCTCCGGCCTTGTCCCGGTGAACAGTAACATGGTGGTGGCACTGTTCACGTACCGAGTCACCTGCCTGCTGCGATGGGTGCGACTCTACGGCTCCAGGGTCAACCCCGCAGAGGCCTGCACGTGCTCTGACCAGAAAAACCCAGGCCCTTCTCTTCCCCACCCGATCCACGACCTCCCGAACCTGATGATCAGGTTCGGCGCCATGCCCAAGCCTGCAGCCGCGCCAGGCCTGGAAGGTTCGGCAACGACGGTCTGGAAGGAGTTTCCAGAGGGAAACAGGGCCGCAGTGGCTAAGATTGAGAAGGACCCCGGGGAGTTCACGGGGATCAAGACGTTCCAGGTGGGGGCGTTTCACGGCGGCAGTGAGTTGGACAAGGAGGAGATGCAGAAGGAGTACAACGTGAGGGAGATTAACCTGCCCCAACCGGGTGCCTCCTCCAGTTCCACAAGCACTCTGGAGGACAACACAAGCGGTCCGTTCTTCACCACTCTGAGCCACCGCGTGGAGGAGTTTCTGAGAAGGTTCGCCCCTGCAAGGCTGGCAAGGGAGGGCAGGAACGGCCCTCTGGCCCGCGCTATCACCTCCTGGGCTGGCCAGTTGGACCTGGAGGATCGAACCTGGGCGGCTATAGCTCTGGGCCCGTACTCATTTGGCAAGATCAAGCCGATCCTACGGTCCACAATCCAAGTGGAAATCTTCATTGAGATGATCGCGGGCAGCATGTCCCCTGCGCCGGCCTGCACACGCTGCCGGCACTGCATCCGCAGGTACGACCGGGCCGTCACTCTCTCCTCGCTCGTCGCCACCTTCGCCTACCGCCCCTCGTCCGCGCTGCTGCGCTGCATCCTCTCTCTCTTCCCGCCGCGCTCCGCGCGCTTCAGAAAGTTCCTGGGAACTCTGGGAGTGGCGCCCATCCCTGCGGCGGTCCCGGACTCGCTGGTGGCGGCGCTGCTGGAAGGCGTGATAGAGGAGCATCGCCTGCAGTTCCTCTTCTTTGGCATTCGGCTCATTGGAGAGGAAGGGGAGGTTGGGAACATTCTGGAACCGGTCGGGCAGGACGGGGTGGGACAGGAAGGGGGGTTGGGGTGGCAGGGCGTGCGGGAGGGGGATGAGGAGTGGAGGATGTGGGAGGAGGTGGACAGCTGGCGGCGGGCGGCTATTATGGCGTGGCCTGCTGTGGAGGGGCGTGGGGAGGCGGGGGTGGATGGTGGGGAGGGGATGGAGGAGTGCTGTGCGGGCATGGAGCGCGCGCAAGGGAGGGGACGGCCGTGGCGGATGCCCGGAAGCAAGCCCTGATTCAGACTGTTATCGCTGCTGGTGGTGCGCGTGGAGGAGAGGGAGGGGGAGAGGGAGGGGAGGGGGAGAGGGGGAAGGCAGTGGCTTCCTACCTGGAGCCATGGCCGGGGGGGGGTGAATCCTCTGGCGTGTTTGAGGGAGATGCTGCTGGGGGAGACCAGCTACTGCCCCCAGGCCCACGTGGACGCCCTTGCTGCTGCCCACGTTGCTGCTGCTGGTGCTGCTGGTGCTGCTGCCCCCCATTCTGCCTCCCATGCTGCTGCTACCCCTGGTGAGGGGGGTCGAAGTGGAGGAGCTGAGGGGCGCAGTGGCAAGGCAGGGCCGCGTGGCTGTGCCTCCCCGCGGTGCAGCAAGGTGGAAGGGGCGGGGGTGCAGCTGAAGCTAAGCTCACGGTGTGGCAAGGCTGCCTACTGCAGCAGGGAGTGCCAGAAGGCCCACTGGCCCTCGCACAAGCTCACGTGCCAGCCCAAGGCCAAGGGGGGAGGCGAGTCGTCATAGTTGGGATAATGACAGCTCTCCTTTTAACGACAATCTGAGCCGTTGGATTCAGCTTGACTGATGATCTTCAGTTTCGCTCAATATTGCAAGACCTGCTTGGATGGATATAGCGAGGGCTAATTTAGAAGGTGGGTAGGCATGGTACCTACTACCTACACTCTTCACGAATTTCCCTTTCCAGCCAAGTCCTACCTTCCCTACCATGGTGCCGAAGCAACTGTTTCAGGTTGAAGGGGGTAAGTGTACGGGATTATTCTTCCTTGTAGCAGTGGTAATTTACCTGTAGTACCGTATCGCCCCGGATAGTAGCGCAGGTGCACTTATTATAAAAGCAGTTTTTTAGGGGGGGCGCTTCTGAATGAGTATCGGGTACCGTATTCCCCCGGACATACCACCCGCCGAAATAGAGCACCCCCCGGGTGGCTTGTGCGGGGGGGGTGCTATAGCGGACCTCGTTTCTACTATACCCCCCTTTTGGGGTGAATTTTCTATAGCACCCTCCTTTCATACAAAATTTCTAATTATACCTGTTAGCGAGTACTGCAGAACATCGCGGATATAACTTCCGCGATGAAATTTCATGATAGTTTCGATGTAATCTACCGAAATCACTCCCCTCCCTCTTTTACGCTACTGCCACGCTGGAAGATTGTTCACTACCAAGTGGCCAAAAAGGTGCCACTTGGCAATTTCAAGGGGGGTGAAAAGGATCTCGCCAAAACCCACATTCTCGCTTCTAGCTGTGATGGTAATCCAACTTTGAAAACACCCAAGTTGTCTTTGCATCAAAATCCTTACACTAAAAATACCGTACCGTATAAAAAGACCCGGGTGCAATGTAGCTTTTTCCGATGACAAGACCCCCCCCCCCCCCCCCCTTTTTTTGTGTAGTTATCATAGCACCCTAGGGTGGTATGTCCGGGGGAATACGATATAAGCCAGGGCTCAGGTTTGCAGTGTAATTTACCCTTCTACTGTATACTGATTACAAGGGTGAAATTTTGGGTCTACACTGATGAGATGGGGTAATTTTTTGGTGAGTTAGTGTTACACTGAACAATGAGTGTATTGACGTAGGCCACACTGATGCCTTGGGGTAAAATTTCCCTTAGCGAAGATTACACTGAAGAGCGCACGGTTCGCGTGATACTAGATTATACCTTTTCGTAGAGTCGACTCGATAAACTAGCCCCTTTCATGAACATGCACATCTATGAGTAGGTACTTCGTAAACTAAAAATCTCGTGTATGTCTTCTCTATTATTCAATTCTTGTTCTCACATATTACGAGCACATGAATTCAAGTATTCCGCTGCAATACTTTACAGAGACTAAACTCTAAAAGATCCCAAGGCTTTCTCAGTTCAACATGGTATGAGAGCGGGATAATGTACGATCTCCTAGTTTTAACGAATCCTCAGTCAACAAAAGTCTTCATTATCAGGGCTAACTTACAGTCATGATGGATAGTGTTAGGAATTGTGATTATTGAAAACACTATTGAGCACTCCTCACCGCACCAACCGAAGCACGCACTACCGAGACTGAAGGTGAAAGGGCGCAAGTGACACGAAGGGTCACACAGTTACGAAGAGCATCTGGGCACACAGCATCAAGCAGCAGCAGTAACGAGGATTCTACCCGAACAGTTTCGTAACTGTCTGGAGTCGCACGGTTGCTTTTCGCTGTGATAAGGGAATGTACCCCTTAGAGTACATGGCTAGCTAGGTCGTTTCGAATTCCCTTGTACTCTTATTTATATCCTTTGTATTGCATGTTTTTATCATCTCAAGCATTTAAATTCACTCTGCTATTGAGGTCAAGGGCCCACCACCACCAAATTAGAAGTGTGCTACGACTGTAATTCGCGTGCACTCAACTGAGAGCGAAGTGCGCCCGACGAAACTGCAACTGGCGCGCCAGGGACGAAATCGCTAGTGGCACGTGCCACGGCCATGCGCTAGTGACGAAATCGCCACTGGCGCCAGTGGCGCGCGCAAGGGACGAAATCGCCACTGGCGCCAGTGGCACGCGCAAGGGACGAAATCGCCACTGGTGCCAGTATTCAGAGCGCAAAATTACTCCGAAATCGAGGGATACCCCAAGGTCACCCTCGCGGGGTTACCCGCAACCTCCTAGCAAGTACCCCCGAGGATACCCCTGAGCAATTGCAACGTCAGCAACTCTCGCAGAGCTGGTCACGCACCTTCGGAAGAGAACAAATGACCAATCAGGAGGCTGGTCAGTTCGTTGGGATACCTCGAGGATACCCCCCAGCTTCTGAGGAAGAATCGGCACCAATCAGAATCTTGCTTCACTTTGGCTGCCGAGCCAGCCACGTGCGGCAACCCAACATGGGAAGGTACACTTCGTCTCTCAAAGTGCTGGAATGTAATTTCATATTTGGTTATATTCTGATTCGGTTTCTTATTGCATCGCTCAATATGTCTGCATACAGTGATGGGTTGGGGTACGTGGCACATTATTGTTCACCAACCAATTGGAGGCGTTCGACAGCAACTTCCATTACCTCTCCTCTCCTAGCAACTTCATATTACTTATCCACCCTTGTACTTCCGCAATCCGTCATTTCTGGTTTCGTTTTCAACACATGATACACACCTAGAACAGCTACTATGATAGCCACTCAGCGTACTTGTGTGAGAAGCAACTTCTCACAATGCTGGTGAGATTTTATAGTTGCTCACGTTTCGCGTTGCTCTGAACGACCGTACCTGTTATTCTTGTTTTTTTTTGTGCCAGGTTCTTTCAACTTGTAGCGCAAGGCCCCTTGCAGTTCGTCTTAGCGCTTAATGTGTTAGTTTCCTGCCTAATGCTTTTTATTATGACGCGGTATTTGCAAATCGGCGTCATTATGGATCTTGTGTGCTAGTCAACACTGGAGCCCATCAATCCTGCATGTCGTGCGCCTTGAGCTTATGCGAGGTACGATAGTCGTGCGCACTTGATATTAACCTTGCATTTCGCACTGTAGGGTTTTTGGCAATCGTATATCCTGCTTGACACCAGGATTCTGAGGCATGCCCTGTGTTGCTGCTGTTTCGTTTTTCCAGTGTTTGTTGTCTGGTGTGTTGCAGGAGCACACCATTATACAAATGGCATTTATTATTGAAGGGGAGTTATAGCCGTTGAAACGTGAAGCATGTAGGGTGCTGTATAACATCATAGCTGCAGGTTAAATTTGTGCACTACAGTAGTGAGATTATCATGCATTGGGTTTACTTGTGTACATGATAGAATAATGGAATTGCTAATATCGCAAGCAATCCCAATATCATCCTGCTAATTTTAAAGTAATCAGGTATCCACCAATGAATACTGGTGTAACACGTAATATGATTCCTATGAAATTAGTTGTAGCTATATCGGTGTTTTGTTTTTGTTTAGATTGAAATATATGTTGCCAATAAATTGTAGCGTCGCTCGTGTACTGTATTATGTGGTGTTGCCAAGGTATTGCATAGCGCGGCAGCGCTCGTGTGTGATTCGCTCCAACAACCTGGGAGGGGGAACCTGTGGGTCACCACCTGTGGGTAACCTCGGGGTCGCCACGCGAAGTGAAATTTGTCGAGGTTACCTGCGGGTCACCTAGACAAGGACACCGGGGTAACCCGCCCCGGGGTAAGCTGTGGGTAACCTGGGGGGGGCTTTTTGGCCCAAACATTTTTGGGATGCACTGGTGCCAGTGGCCCGGGAAGCTGCGACGGGCGACGGGACGGGGCGACGCGCGGGCCCCACTATAGCCTAGAGATAACACAAACATACAGTTTGACACACCCCCATAGGCTGAGTGGGAGATAGAAAACACAACAGACGGTCACAAGACCAGTCAAGCAAGAGAACAAGCAAAGCAAAGCAAAGCTCAGGGTGGATCTCAAGGACACCACACAATCTGAGCACAAGCAAGCGGCCACAAGGCCAGTTCACATGCAGAGTTATAATAGCAAGGCAGTACACTGATCACAACCTAGCAAGAGTAAACAAGCAGGTATAAAGATATATATCAGTGTACAACAAGAGCAAGTCAAGCAACCAGCAGGTGAGGCAGAGTGGGCACAAGCCCAAGAGCAGTGCAAAAACGCTGATGATCACCAGACCCAAGGGCCTTGGTGAAAACATCAGCAGTGTTGACCCGAGAGCTCATGTATGCAAGGCGCATCTGACGACACTGCTGCAACTCACGCGCAAGGAAGTAGCGAAGAGCAATGTGCTTCGTTCTGTGCTCGAGTCTCTGCTCGCGACACAAGGCAAACATTGCCTTGTTGTCGACGTACACAACAGGAGGAGAACGAGGCCGCTCCCCCAAGTCGGTCAGCAGGTAGGTCAGCCAGCGTAGCTCCTGTGCAGCCATGGCCCCAGCGTAGATCTCGGCCTCACAGCTGGAACCAAGCACAGAAGAAGACCGAGTGGACCTCTACGAGACAGAACCAGAGCCAAGACTAAAGGTGTAACCCTGTGACGAACGCTGAGTCGCCTGGTCGTCGGCCTAAGAAGCGTCAGAGTGTCCTGTGAGGTCCACCGAACCCCGTCCTCCAAGCACGAGCCCCATGCCCGATGTGCTGCACAAGTAACGCAGTACCCTCTTCGCAGCATCAAAGTGCACCTTTCGGTGTCTATCGGGTGCCACGTAGCGAGCCAGAAGGCTGAGAGGGTACGCGATGTGAGGTCGTGTGCACGTCATCAGGTACATGAGGCAACCCACAAGCTCTGGATACGGACCACTCGGCTCTACGGACTCGTCCGAAGGTGGAGCTGAGAGTGAGTGGCCGGTAGCCAGAGGAGTGGGCTGTGGCGAGGAGTACGTGAAGCGGAAGCGCTGAAGGACCTGGTGCACCATGTGTGACTGAGTGAGGGTGATGGTGCGCCGTGGTCTGTCCCGGGTGATCTGCAAGCAAAGATAGCTTCGCAGCTCACCCATGTCAGTGCAGGTGTGTCTAACCTGCAGCTCCGCCTTCACTAGGGCCAGTGCCTCAGTGTCA